TTCCTGAGCTAGCATTTGGAGTTTCCTGTTTGTCTGCTTAGCTTTGGGGAACACTGCTCAGAACCAACTTGCTTCCAGAAATGTCAGGCACTGTGATTGCAAAAGGCAGTGCTAGCCTCCAGAACAGTACTGGTACTTGGTTAGAAGGTTCCAGAAGATTTTGTTTACAGCTTTGATTACTGTGATGAGCTGTAACATTCTGAAACCAGTTTAATGGTATGAAAATAACTGGTATTCAAGGGCTCTAGATTTTTTTATAAAGTCATTAGGCAATGATGTGTTTATTGGGACAATTTTTCCCCCATATGCAATAAAGTAAAGCAGTATTCTGCATTTTCGTCTATATAATTGGCTTGACCTACAACATAAAGGATATTAAAACCCTTGATTGCCAGCAAGTTAGGCCGAAATGAATCGGGGAACAATTTGTACTCCAGTCTTCTTTTCTCCAGATTCTTGTAGCTTGCTTAGAATCCCATGTTGCCATTCATGATGTTTAAATAAAGTTGCGCACACATTTACTGGAAAAATTGTAACTTTGAATCTCTGAAGTAGTAGCTGACACTTTCTTTTCTGTTCTCTAGGAGAAAAATCAAAGTCTCCAATGCTTAGTTCTAGAACTGTCTGCTAAAACAGGCCAGCTGCAAGCAAGAGAACAGGAGCTTCTTACTATGCTTAAGCTGAAGGTAACATCTGTCGTCTCCTCAGGCATTAAATGTGGTCAAACTGCAGCACAGTTATTGGTGACTGTACCGCAGTGGTTTAGTCACCATTAATCTCACTGATGTTTAATTCTTAGGCTTGTTTGAGAAGGCAAAAGCAGTCCACAAACAATAAACTGGTTTATTTTAATGAACAAGCTTGTTTCCTGGCTTTGCTTTTTGTTTTTTTTTTTTCTCAAGAGCTGAGGATAAAATCTGTGAAGTAGCTATAACTACTGCAGTAAGATGAACTCTTGTTTTGTCAAAATCCATACATAAGATAAAACAATAATCCAGAATACATTCTGTTTCATATTTCAGGACAAGGCTATACTTGAAACAACTGATCACATTACTGAGTTTACATCTAAATTCAAAAAGCTGGAAAGTACATTACGTGCAGCAAAGACAGAGGAATTTAGTCTCAACAAAGAAAAGCAAGACCTCAGACTGAGACTGAAAGAACTCGTACTTGAAACAAACAAGCTGAAAGGTAAGTGTTTGTACTGGGCACCTAATTTAGGGTAGACCAGCATGATTCCTTTTCATTCTGGGAAATACTACATTTTGTTTTACAGATGACCTCTGTGAAAAGATGCAAGAAAATAATAAGCAGCAGGAAGAAATCATTCACCTCAAACAAGAAAATAGCTGCCTGAGGAATGAGCTTGCACTTGCTGGTAAGTGTGGGCAGTTGGTTTTTCATGCCTTAGCTTTCAACAGCTCAGAGACTGCTAGACAACAACAGTTTGCTAATATCTGTGAAGGAGGAAACTTCTTACGCACCTTTCTTGCGGTTTAATAAAGGTGTATGCCTTTGTCGTTCTTCTGTGAAAGCAATATCTCAGGCTTCTGCAGGCACAGTTTATAAAATCTTGTAAAAGCACAAAGTTTACTGACGTGATTATGCATGGAGGAATAAATGGCTCAGATTCTCTCTTGAAAATTTTTGAGACTTTCATGTCTCCTGTGGTATTAATACAATAAATGGGGGTGGCATTCTCCCTTCTGACATAGGTTGCCTAGAAAATGGTGACCTACTGAAAAGATGCCACATGTAAAACCTAAAGCTTAGGCCCTATGAAATTACCAGCCCATCCACTCCCTCTGGTGTTGGTATGGAAGCAGTATGTTTACAAATGCCCTTTTTCTCTTGCTTTTCTTTAACTGATGGTTTTGATTTAGACCGGTTTAATAAGCAGGACTTGGTAAACTGCAGCTTGCTATCTGTTGATATCTTCCCTTTGGTTTTGGGTAGAGAGGAACTCTTCTGGGCTGTAGTGAGTAAGAAAGGCAGGCTGATGGTTGCTGCAGCGTTCTTACAGACAAGCAATATATGTCTTGAAAGATTAGGTGACCAAAGATATCCTCTGGTGGGAGATGATTTACTTGCCTATCACTTTTTATCTGCCATTACCTTTGCCAAATATTGATCCCATGTCTCATTATTTTAAAAACAATAGCAATGGGAAGTATTTCCCAGCACTTCCCTGTACAAGGCATGAATTAGAATTAATTACTGAATTTCCTTTCCATGGAAGAATGTTAACATGACAAAGTAAAATAAATCAGTCAATGAAGCAGAATATTGCTGCTAGTAAAGTATAGCTGGGTGCTGGTGAAAAGTCTGAGGAAAATACTTGATCTGTTTAGTTGTCTTACGGTTTTTGTGCTCTTTTTATTTGGAGGGGAAACAGATCCTGTTGATCTTAAGAAAATGCTTTTGTTTTGGTTAGGTACCTGTTTCTACTGCTACAGACATACCTGTCAACAAATGTACTTGCTTTGTGTCTATTCACTTTAAGTAATTAAAAAATTGTGTATGTTTTGAAACAGTTGAGAAAGCGAAGAGAAAGGATCAGCTTCTTCAATTTGCCAAGTCTAAACAAGCACGGACTGATACAGAACTATCAAGTTTGCGACAGGTACAACCCTATTTGTGTTTCTACTCTCAGATTATGAAGGCATTTTTCAATAACATCAGACCTGTATGGAACACTGTAAAAAAGTTAGATCTAACTACTATTAATTAAGAAAAAAAAAAATCAAGTTTGCTGGGGATTTTTTTGTGGCTTCTTTTTTTTGGTTAAAATTAAAAACCCATGGTACAAATCCTTGTATTTACATGTGCTTTTAGCCTTTTTTTGTATAATTGTATTTACTCAGTCCTACAATGACCGAGTGGCAGTAAAGTGGGGGCACCCTGCTGAGGTAACAGTTGTCAGTGCGTGTTTATAACCAGAGTGTACTGGGCTCGAAGTCGTGTGAAAGGCAGTGGGAGTGGGGCGTACTGCCACACGCACATGCCCGAGGTGAACTCAAGCAGTGTAAAGGCGCATGGTGTACTGAAACATCTGTTTTTCAAGAGAGACGTCAAACCAGTGTTTTCACCTGCACTCATTTGAGGTTCTCAAGGCATGTTCAGATTTTTTTTTTTAATTGCAAACAATTGATTTGTATTTTACCTTCTGCCCCAGCTTTACAAAAATCCCCTGCAGTGAAAGGCAAATACTATGATCATCATTCATGTCCTGTAATTCTGCATAACTTTGAACAACGTAATAACAACATGTATTACATATCAAATAACAGTAATGATATTGTATTTATGGTTCAGTGTGGTTCCATCTTAGAAGAACGCTGCAGTCTTCTAACAGAAATATTGTTTATTGCTGCAAAACTTTATTTTCCTAAATACAGACAGAGATGGCCCCTTAGATTTGGAAGGCTTTGACAATAGTTTGACCTACAGGTATTGGCTTATAAAAATATTTTGAGGATATTTTTGGAAGACAAGCAGTGTGTTAGGACCCAATGGCAATGTTCCCTGCACTCCAGACTTTCACTAATGTGCATTACTATCTTTAAACAGATCTACATAAACCAGCAGCGTGACTTGCAGTTTCTTCATGTCAATTTGGAGAGCTCTCAGGAATTAAGTCAAAAACATGAAAAGAGGGTACATGAAAGGAGGTAATATTTTTGTCTCTCTTTTTGTTTTTATTTTTTCCCCAGTAGTTTATTCTTGGAGAGAGACTTCACTGTTCAGCCACAACTAACATCCTAAAAGAGATGTGTGCTGTGTCAAGATGGCTTTGGTGGACTCAACCACAAACATCCAGTGAGGTTGTCAGATACTTTTTTTTTTTTTTTTCTAACTTGGTCCGGAGACACCATGAGTATCAGTCACAGAATAAAGTGCTGTATGCAAGCCAGACAGTTAATGATTTTTTTAAAAAAATTGAGTAGTCTGGTGGTAGGGGTGTTAATCTGGCCAGCTACTAATTTGTTTAAAAATCAAAGTTTATTTTGCTTTCAGATTAGGAAATTGATCCATGTCCTTCTTGTGTTGGGGGCCCCAGAGCTGAATGCAGTCTACCAACTTGAAAAGTTGTAAATTTAAAATAAGTTAAAATAGCTCTTAAGGTAACGTGGTTCTATTTTTATGCATTTATTTTTTGTCGTCTCTTATCCCCAAGAGCTGTGTGGGTAGGAGAAGCTGCAGTGCCACATAACTTGCAAAATAAACTGATTGAGAAAAATTCCAATGTAAAGAAATCTTACGATTTTTTGAAATCTTAGATGTTGCTTGTAAATCTGGTGGGTAAGATATGTTCTGACCAGAGTTGGACTTCTACAGTGATGTTTCTGTAAGGCAAGAAACAAACCTAGATTTTGTGTGGTACTTTAGGGACTGTGTTATTTCTGTTGAGAAATCACACAGTGGCTGGACAAGAATGTGGGACATGGCTCTTCCTCACTGGCAGCTTTCCTCACTCAGGGCAAGAAAATGAGATGGTAAGATTTAAAGGACAGCAATCTGTCCACTCTCCAGTGCGTCTTTGTTCATGGGACTCTATCCCTGTGTTTATGTTGGGGGAGGAAAAAGGACACGTGGTTGGGGATGAGCAGAAGGAGGTTTTTAACGCTGAGAAGTGTTGGAAGAATTCTCAGGTGTTTTGGTGGTATTGGAAGGCATCTGAGATATAAATACTGCTTTGCATTTATGGACGTGGTTTTATGCCTGCACAAGCAAGGGCATTCAGAGCTGTGATGTTCTGTGGATTCATTGTGTTGGTTCCTCTATTTACTTTCAAAAAATTGACTGACTTACCAGCTCTATTTCAGAAGGATTTCTGAAGTTGTACAGAGATCTTATAGCTGCCTTTTAGACAGAGAAGAGGAGGAGTAGCTTTTCAGCTGGTAGTTCAACAAGTATAGTAAATGAACAGCTGTTTAAACCTGCTCAGAATTTTAGCCAACAAGTCTCCCCAGTGTCCACACAAATTAATGTTATGGAATGGAAATATCTGATGTATTGATGCTTTCATTCTATGTTGCTTTTAAAACAAAAATACTACAGAAATTGTTACTGCAGTGAGACAGACCTGTTCAGAAACAAGGTGAATGGGCAGCCATTGAAAAAGAATGCTGTCTCGGCACATTCCCATGCAACTTAGCTGAGCTTCATGCTGTGTGTGGACTCTCTAATTTCCACTGTCCATAAATCATTAAAAAGACTTCATTCCCCTTAAGTCTACCCTGACCTTTCTTATCTACTCCCCCAGCAGCACAAATGACACACTGCCGTCCCTCCAAATCTCTTCTGAGGCTCAATTGTGAAAACTGCTTTCCCTTTTTGTCTTGCCCTTAAGGGGATTTTAGGCGAGAAGGAACAAATTCAACCCAGGCAATGCAGATAGAGCAGATATCCTTCAGTAAAGGAGGGCTGCCAAATCCCCATTCCCCATTTGGGATTTGCTGTTGAGCTATCAAGTTTTCTTGATGCCCACATTTGGTCCTAGGAGCCCTGCTAATTGGAGATGGATTGACTCAGTGCAAATCGCAGACTCTCTGCTTTCCAACCTCTGCTGACTCTGATTTGCCACTGAATAAATTCTCACCCCCTAACTCGGAGAAAGGCAGTAGTATTGCAGTCTTCAGTGTGGGCTTCTGTTAAGGCATTAGTGGCAGAGACCAAACACAACATTCCTTCTGGGACCTGAATCTGGATCCTCCAGTTTTTCATTGCTGGCTTTGTAGTGCTGATGATGTATTTT